TGGAGAGTAGTACTGAGTATCACTTATAGAAGTATGTTGAATGCTCTTTTGGTTTGAATCTGGGCATGATAAGATGTCAGTAGAGTAATGTCTTGTCAGTAGTTTGCGCCTTTGTGCTTGTTTTCAGCTTGAGGACGACGACAATGTCAAAAGGTAAGGTCAAAAAATCTTCAGCACAGAATCTGAAGGCACAAACCACTGACACAACATTGCTCTACTGGCTACTTATGCAACTATTATTTTGAAATTTGCACTCTTCCTGACAAAAATATGCACCTAGTCCTACATACATACATTACAATACCTTATACATTCGTTATCTGTGTTGTGACTGCCTACCCAAAGTTTGTTTGTGCGAGGCAACTACTAGCCGAGTATACTCACATATATGTAAAAATGCTCAAAAATTTTCTTTCAGTCGGGCATCGAAACTCATAGAACCTCCCGGCGAACGACCATGTTACTGCATTCCACTGAATCAGTTTTTTCTTTGGTGATTTTCAGCGTAATAAACCCCATTTCTGTATAGTTAGAAGCATACCAAAATCTCGGAAGTACATTGAAAAGAGAAAAGATGCTGAACAAGTGATGATCAGTAACTGTCGAGGTTGGAATACCAAAGGTTTTTTACCTTTGCCGCAGTCACGTCCACGACTATCGAAATTAATATCTCAAAAAAAAAATTATTTCATAGATCTCCAGAGAACAAATCAGAGAATTTCAGAAACCCTAGCGATAGCGTTCTATTTTTCCGATCTCCACTCCTTCCAAAAACATAGAAAAAGAAATTTAAATTGTCGCTCTGAACAAATAGAAAAACAAACGAGAAATGTTGGTAATTATCAGAAAATCCGACGAGGTAGATGTGCACAAAACATAACTTTACAAGCTTGTTGACAAACTACCCGTGCCCAGCCGTGTAGAAAGTACGGTGTTTACCTCTAGATCTATTTGCTTCTTTTCATGAAGATTAGCATGATATGTTTTCTGCCAATAGTTGATTGCCCGTGGAATGGCATTCAAAATAAGGATACGATTTTTAACCAACTTTTCCAAAGCTTTGATAACAGGTATAGCCTCCTCCACAAGTGGATCGGGAATCGTCGTTTTTGGTGTATCCATCCAGGTGAGATGTCTAAATACAAGTTTTCGCTGTTA